CTTTGTGCTTGGAATGTGTGCTTGGTCATTCAAAATGTCTTCCAGTGCTCAGCTTCATGTGGAGGGGGTACTCAGAAAAGAGCAGTGCAGTGCATCAGGGTGGACGACCCTGCGACCAGGAGGAGAACCGGTGCGAGCAGGAGACCAGGCCTCCAGATTCTCAGAAATGCAACCTACAAAAATGTGTGGAAAATACTGGTGAGTATATTCCAGCAAAGATCTCTCTAAGGAAACTATCCCGGGTGCAAAATGGCAGGCAGTTCTATATTACAAGCTGGTCCATTGTAGAGTTTCTGGCGTTGCTCATTCCAAAGAGCAAACAGTTTCATTTGTTGATATATTTTTGGATTAATCTCTGACTTTTAGGATGGGGAGCAATCTCAAGAAAAGGTTATTGGAATATGTATTTTTAATATATGTGGATGTATTTGCATGTCTAAACACTGGCTGTGTCCATAGAACTTGGTTATCTAGGCTGTAGAAATAACCCATTCACATTATATGTCTGAGTTCACATTATATATTAGATCATAAATTAGCCAAATGGGATCGGTTTTCATAACACACTGATAACTCCCCTCAATTTTAACCCATTGAAATTAACCAAGTGTACATATCGTGGTATATTCACTAGTTCTGAACTATTTGAGACACAATATCAGAAGACCTGTTATCATGAAGTAGATGCTTCACAACAGATTTTTTTTTTTTTAATTTGATTTATATGCCGCCCTTCTCCGAAGACTCAGGGCGGCTTACAATGTGCTCAGCAATAGCCTTCACCCTTTTGTATATTTATACAAAGTCAGCTTATTGCCCCCACAACTGGGTCCTCAATTTACCTACCTTAGAAAGGATGGAAGGCTGAGTCAACCTTGAGCCTTGGCGAGATTCGAACCCTGCAGTAATTGCAGGCAGCTGGTCTTAATAACCAGCTTAATAACAGGGTGCCTTAAACCCCTGTACTACCAAGGCCCTTTAGCATAAAATGAGCATTTGTAAATGTATTTTGCACTCATTTGGGCTGAAAAGGTATATCACAGTGGTGAAATCCAAATTTTTTTGCTACCAGTTTTGTGGGCTTGGCTTGGTGGGCGTGGTGTGGTGTGGTGTGGCTTGGTGGGTGTGGAAGGGGAAGGATACTGCAAAATCTCCATTCCTACCCCACCCTGGGGCCAGCCAGAGGTGGTATTTGCTGGTTCTCTGAACCGCTCAAAATTTCCGCTACCGGTTCTCCAGAACCTGTCAGAACCTGCTGGATTTCACCCCTGGTATATCACAAACTTCCTAGAATTACAAATACTGAAGGAGGATGATATTCTAATGTACACATTGATTAATCCAGGAGGAAGCATCAGATTTCCACAAAGAAAAATTTCATTAGACACATGTAAGTGGGTGTATGTGTGTGTGTGTGTATCTTTCCCAAACAGCCTGAGAGCACTTACAGAAGCTGTTTATTATTATAATAAAATGGGTCATACGTTCATGGCAAAAACTAATCAAGAGCAAAGACATCCAAAGAAATACATGCTATTACAATAGATTGCAATAATAAATAGACTTTTCATTTTTTCACAACCTCTCTCAACGTGTCATCCTCCAAATCAGAATTTTCAATTTTCCCACATCCAGCTGGTCTGAGATATTTCGTTCCTTGCGTTGAACAAGATTTATTTATTTATTTATTGCCTCACATATCCTGTCATTTCATCTTCAGAAGCTGGTTTGGACCAACAAATGATTGTTTTTCAACACTAAGCATTGTCAACTACAGATAGTCCTCGACTTATAACCAAAATTACACCCAGAATTTATGTTGCTAAGCGAGACAGTTCAGTGAATTTTGCCCCATATTATGACCTTTCTTGCCACAGTTGTTAAGTGAAGCACTTCAGTTATTAAATTGGTAAGTAATTGGTTGTTAAGTGAATCTGAGTTCCCCATTGACTTTGCTCATCAGAAGGTCGCAAAAGGTGATCACAGGACCTGGGAACATGTGGGGACACTGGCAACTGCCAAGCAATCTAAATCTTGATCACATGACCCTGGGGAGGCTGCAACGGTCATAAGTGTGAAAAATGGTCACAAATCCATTTTTTCAGTGCTGTTATAACTTCAAACTCACTAAACAAACTGTTGTAAATCGAGGATTACCTGTTTATTGTCACAGATTCCGGATTGGTGCAGATTCCAGAGTGGTTGTATACACATTAATTCCAGCTAGAAAAGTCTTTTATTACAAACATTTGTCACGAAAGATTACCTGTCATTTTTTATTTAGAACCATTTAATTTATTCTATGCCTCCTATTTCTTTCTTAATCTTCTATTTTGCTTATGCCTCTCTATTCTTCTATCCTTCCTCTAACCTTTTCTAAGTTCTAACTATCTGACTCTTGATCTTTACTTTCTGTTTATCGCTGGGTGTCTTTCATTTCCTCTCTGATATTTTGTCTTATCTTAACTCTGTTGCATGAAACCCCAGTAACTTCTTTTTGAATTCATACACATTTACAGGCTCATCCTGCAGTAAGGACAGACTATCCGTGAACTTCTGCGAGAAGGTGCGAGATATTGGCAAATGTTCTGCGCCCTCAGTGAGGATTCAGTGCTGTCAAACGTGCAAAAGATCCTTGGCTGTCAACGCAATGGGCCGCAATGAGAATTAACCAAATCTGAATCATTATCCAAATAAAAACTGAACTTGCTAAGATGGACTTTGGAAATAAAGAAAATTCGTCTACAATTTCCAGCATGCTCTATGGACCTATAATTTAAACCTTCCCAGAGGCAAGACGGCCTCTTCAAACATTGGACATCATTATTTTTGTGTGTTCTATATATTATCCTTATTTTTTTCTGTACCTGTTGGCAGTTCCTTTAATTTCATTTTCCTTCTCTGGATCACTCCCGGCTCAAACTTTCTGGCCCACTTTAAATAGGTTTTCTTGCTTTAATGAATCAGTTTTTATGCTGATTTGGCAAGAAAGCTCTACTGGAAATAGAAAAAAGATTTTGATCTATATATATACCCAAGTATGGATCTTATTCTGTATTAAAACAGTCATCTAAGATAGAGGTTCATTAACGTACAAGTTATCATTGTCATCCATTGACTTAAACATCCCCTTTTCAAAAATGGTCATTTTTGAAGCTACAGTTGTAGAACCTGAGGCTCTCCAGATATTTTTTGAATTCAGCCTGCATGGCTTATATCAGGGGTGTCAAACTCGATTTCATTGAGGGCCGCATCAGGGTTGTGTTTGACCTCAAGGGCGGGGCAGTGGTGAAATTCAAAGTTTTTACTACTGGTTCTGTGGGCGTAGCTTGGTGGGCATGGCAGGGGAAGTATACTGCAAAATCTCCATTCCCACCCCACTCCAGGGGAAGAATATTGCAAAATCTCCATTCCCACCCCACTCCAGGGGAAGGATACTGAAAAATCCCCATTTCCTCCCCACTCTGGGGCCAGCCAGAAGTGGTATTTGCCGGTTCTCCGAACTACTCAAAATTTCCGCTACTGGTTCTCCAGTCAGAACCTGCTGAATTTCACTGTTGGGGTGGGGGGGCTTGGCCAGGGTGGGCATGCCCAGCTCAATGTCACTTGTGTTGGGGGTGAGTGACACTGCTTTTTAACACTGCCAGTGAAAATGGGCTCCTGACCTCCGTTTTCAGGTGCAACGGCCTCCTGCAACCCTCTGCCAGTGGAAACAGAGCTTTCACTGGCAGGTGCATCGCGGGCCGGTCCTTTGCTGTTTCCAGGGCAGCCCCATGGGCCAGATCTAAGCACCCCATAGGCCGGATCCGGTCCCTGGGCCTTGAATTTGATACCCCTGACTTATACTAAAAAAAATTGATGGGAGGTTTTCAGACAATACTTTCCCTTCCTAGGATTCTTCTTCTGAAATTCTACATGTGAAGAATTGTAAAAGTTGCTATATTTGTGTATAACAGATTTATACCTCTAACTGAATTAATCAATTTTGTTCTTCAGTATGGTGCTATTATACCATGGTGCTAAAACCTGTATGGCATCTAAAACATTCTTTTTACGGCTGGGTTCAAAGAAGATACTAAGCGAACGCCAAGTAAATAATATCCATTGCAATGGATGAATTCTACCATCACCATTTATAATCCTGGAGTTTTGATCTTAGCATGTCAACCTAGCTAATTGTGGTATAGTGGGGGGAAAAACAGTTAAATAAATCATAGCTTAAGCTAGTGGATGAAACCAGTGTTGCAAACATGTACACATTTTTTGTATAAATGAATGGATGGTGTAATCTTGAAATTATGTTTTATCAGGGTGTTGCTGTGCAATGCTGGCTGTATTGCTTTTTTCAAAATATTACTTGATATATTTTGCTAAAAAGGCTTTAATTTGTAAACTAGGGAAAGCCGTACGGCCCCTTGGTCATGCTTCAAGTGTGTCTGCTTCTTTGATGCTGCGAAGGGTTTAATTGGATTTCTACATGAAAGGCTATATGGTGAATGGCATTGCTTCGAAGCACATGAACAAGAGCTTTGAAGGTCAACAGGTAAAGTCTTTCTGTTCACAGATAATGAGCTGCATCTAGCCAGCCAAAGATGAGAGCAACTGGCTTGTCTTCATCAGACACTCTTGGTTGCCCAAAGCTATCAAACATTGTTCTGCCCTAGCTATGGACCCCAAAGAACGCAGCACACACAAAGTCTGTTCAAACCTTAGTTTACTAAATAAACCAGTTTTTTACAACAATGGCTGTTAATTAACTGCATTAATAGCTGCCAAGAATTCAAAGAATAATACTGAAAGCTTACTGTGTTTGGCAGAATGCCCAGAAGCAATTTGCAGGAAGCTGATAAGATAAGCAAGACAAGACACGAAGGTATGTGAACGAAGTTGTTCCCTGCAAATTGCTTCAGTTGGCGTTCCTCCTTAAATAGGCTAAGGGAGTGGCCAATTAGCCCCAAGCCTTACTCTTGAGGAGACCTCCTCCAGAGGAGCCACTCCTGCCTTTTGGCAGCTCTGCACGCCCATGCATCAAGAAGAGGCTTCCTCCTCTTCTTCCTCTTCACTTATGGGAGCTTCTGGAGGTTCTGAAGGCCCTGGCTGAATCCCCGCCTCTGGTACCACATCTTCTCCAGCCTCCTCATTGTCCAACTCGAGTGCCAGCTGCACAGGCTGCTGGCGCAGCACCACACCAGCCTCCTCGCTGTCTGAATCAGCTACTAGCTGCACAGGCCACGTACGGGCCACAACAACATAGAGGCCTAAAGATGCACTTGAAAATGGTCGTAATCAATTTCATGGCATTATAGAGTTGGAAGGAATCATCTTCCAATTCAGAGCTCTGCAATATTGAAACTAACTGTCCAGTCTTTTCTTAAAATAGGCAGATAGATTGTTCCACCGCTGTACATTTTTGTTATAAAGGTAGTCCTCGATTTAACAACAGTGTTCAGTGCTTACAGTGCATTCAGCAATACTGTATATTTACAAGTCAGCTTATTGAAAAACTGTGGAGTCAACTTATTCGAGCAGTAAATTAGGCAGCGCTTTTGTACAAGTGACTGTTCAAATTTACAACAGCATTGAAAAATGTGGCTTATGGGCCGTTTTTCATAGTTACGACTTTTTCAGCGCCCCCATAGTCGCGTGATCAAAATGCTTTGCCACTGGTTCATATTTATGGCTTTTTGTCATAGTTTCTGTGGGCACAGGGGAAAAAAATTATGATCATCTTCCCTACAGCTGAACCTGAACACAGCTATCATGCCTCCCCTTACTTTTTTCTTCAAACTAGGACATCCCAGGTTCCTTCAGCCCTGTATTTTTCAACCTTGGCAACCTTAAGGTGTGAGGACTTCAATTCCCAGAATTCCCCAACTAGCCATGTTAGCTGAGGAATTCTGGGAATTGAAGTTCACATTTCTTAAAACTGCCAAGGTTAAGAACCATTGCTTTAGCCTGTCCTCAGAGGCCATGTTCTTAAGTCTCATTGCAGTCCTCTGAACCTTCTCCACCTGTCAATAGCCCTCTGGAAAAGGAGCATTCAGAATCAACACAGAATTCCAATTGGGGTTTCCACAATTTGAGTAGTAGTCCCACATTTTTGATACAAAGCTTCTTCCAATTCTGCCAAGAATTGTATTTGCCCTTCTACCAGTCTCTTACTAATGAGTTATGTTCAGCTTGTGGTCAAGCATTCAAAACAATTCACCTGTCACTAACTCTGGAAGAAAACATCAAGTAAGATTTATTGGATTGGACTGGTATCTGATTTCCCACATTCTTCATTGAGATACCTGTATAAGATCCTCAACCCTCAACAGCCTAATCAAGGAACCACCAAGATCTCTCCCACCAACACTGATAGGGCAAGCGATTAGTATATAATAATGAGAGTAAACCCCATTCCCATCCAGCACTGATGATTTTGCCTAGTTGGGTAATGAAACATCTGCAAGAAAACAGCCAAGCTCAGAGAGCATCAAGGACCCCACAGTCCATTCCTGACCTACAAGTATTCTGTTCTATCAAAACCCACAAGAGGGTCACAGGAAAACAGTGTATTGTATGTATAAAATCTAAAAGGCTAATAGACCTAACACTGAAAATACTAGTCACACAAAACACACATAACTCAGAAATACACACACACACACACACACACACACACACACACACACACCCAAAACCTAAGTGGACAAACATAAATATAGTAACTCAACAGACCATGGCTGGAGTCAATACTTCATCTTTCCTTTTTTGCTCCCTCCCTGCTCTTCCCCAATTTTCTCCCAATTTTTGGGGAGAGGGTTATGGCCACTAGGAGGAGGGGAAAAAACCAATTTGATGATGTGTAATAAATCAAAGAGGACTCGGTGGCTCAGAGGCTAAGACTCTGAGCTTGTCGATCAAAAGGTTGGCAGTTCGGCGCCTCGAATCCCTAGTGCTGCATAACGGGGTGAGCTCCCATGACTTGTCCCAGCTTCTGCCAACCTAGCAGTTCGAAAGCACGTAAAAAATGCAAGTAGAAAAATAGGGACCACCTTTGGTGGGAAGGTAACAGTGTTTCGTGCGCCTTCGGCGTTTAGTCATGCCGGCCACATAACCACGGAGACATCTTCGGACAACGCTGGCTCTTCAGCTTTCAAACGGAGATGAGCACCGCCCCCTAGAGTCGGGAATGACTAGCATATATGTGAGGTGCAAACCTTTACCTTAATAATTATCAATCATGGTTTTTACTTGCACAAGCCTTAGATCGCTTCAACCATAATTGAACAGTGTTATCAAGATTCTTCGGTCACTAGTTTCGGGAGAATTTGTTCGGCAGGTCCACTTTTTCCCCTTATTTGCAGGAATTGTCCTGCCATCTGTTGGCCAGAAAGAACAGTGAAACCTGGAAGACACGTAGATTCATACCAGTGATTTCAAGGAGTAGTTAAATAAGCAACATTTATTCATAGGCTGTATTTTCAGTAATGTTGAAAATAGTATCCAAAAGGCTCCCATGATAATATAGTGGAAATGGCCTTTTAGAAAGACATTAATTTTCTTGAATCAGGAAAGAATGTCAAGTGATCTGACTTTATCTCTTTTTCTACCAATACAACTGCAAAAATATTCCCTTTGGAGATCTTCCTTTCCACCAAGGAAAACAGAAGACTTTTTATTATAAGAGAACCCTTATAACTGGCTTCTTAGAATCTCAGTGCTGCTTCTGCCCAGATAAATTGCATTAAAAGAAATGCAACTGAAAAATGGCTAAGATCTCTACCAGAAAATCCCGTATATTCTCAGGATTTTGTTGAAAAGCAATGACAGTTCAATTTACAGCCCAAAGAGCAGAAAATGGATTCACAAATTGAATTGTGTTTACTGCTTTTGGGGAGGGGGGGGGGACTTGCATTAAATACATATATATAGCTTTTGTATATAGCTAATCCTATTCTTGCTATTCAAGTAAAGCTTTAATATATGTAATTGCCGTTTGCTACTTAAAATTCTGTTTCCCAGCTTATAAAATAGAATGGCATTTTTTCCTGCTTAATTTATGAAGTGCTTACATCTGCAAAGGTTTACATAGGGGGCAGATATATTACAAGTATTTTATATGGTCACGCTGGAACATTAATTGTGATGTGTACATTATTTCCTATCTATGTCCAAGGGAAATGTAGTCTCTATTTTTTGCCCGTTGTCTATCCAGGTTAAGACTCCCTCCCCCTTTTTCTATCTTCCAGCCTTTTTCTTCAAAACTTTACAGATGAAAGCAAGTCAGGGATCATTCTTATAATTTGCATCCTAATGCAGATTATTTTTCCCTTTCTTGAACACAGAAAAGCTATTTTCTACGTACTTGTCAGAAGATTCAATGAAATTTCTTGTCTTCTGACAGCATGGAGAAAGCTGAAGGGAGAGTTGTGAGTCACTATGAAATCACCAAATAGTACATCATGCCTGAATAAGTAGTATTATCTGTGGGTGGTGATCTTGACTCTCTTAATTAAATGTTTGTTCCAGATTTCAGCATTTACATTGTACTAGTGTAGTCATGGACCATTGGCAACTGAAGACTACATATTGTGCGTAAAATGCGGAAGAAAAGCACACATGCATGCACGCAAACTAACTGGTGTCCATACGGAAGGAAAAAAATCTCTAGTATGCAACTCCTGCCCATGAAACAGCATCCCCAAGAGATTTACTGTATATGGTTCCCACCTGAGGACGTTCTGAAAATCAATGAATCCTTGGCTGTTCTCCCAGGCCTTGAGGTAGGGTAGAAGTTGCCCCTTGTAGGTTGTCATGTTGCAATTTAGAGTCTGTCTTCTGCACACTTATGAAGTGTTCCTTTTTAAAATTATTGCTAAACCACTCACATCATTTGAATTTAAACAGCCATTGAGCTGAATAAGTAAAATAAGTAAATGCAGAGCCATTTTGCACCTCAAGGATTGCTACTGTAATATACTTTCAGCCCTGTGTATTGTATCATCATCGTTTAACGACCTCATAATCCCTTGCAGGGTAGAGTCTGGGCAACTGAATGGAGCTGGCAGTGTTTTAATGGCCGGATGCCCTTCCTATCGCCAATGTGGAGTTTTGTTCAGCAGATATATTCTCAGTGTGCCCAGAGAGAGAAATATCTGTCTTTACCTAGGATCAAACTCAAAGCTGCCTGATTGTGAGGTGAGAGCTCCACCTCTAGGCCACCGCACCACTCTAATGGAGAAATAATGTATTTACCGTATTTTTCAGAGTATAAGACACACCTTTTCCCCAAAGAGGGTGAAAACCTGGGTGCGTCTTATAGTCCGAATGTAGCCCCGCCCAGCTTCTCAAACGGAGGTTTCAGAGGCTGAAAAAAGCATCAGAAATGAAGCTTCAGAAAAGAAGCCCTCAAACAGAGCTTTAGAAAAGAAGCCCCCAGAGCTTCAGAGGCTTTTTTTCTGAAGCTGTTTCAGAGGCTTTCAGAGGCAGGAAAAAAAGAAAAAAGAAAAAAAAAAGCAAGGCACAGAGCTCACAACCAAGGAACCTGTTGCTAAAATTCACCTCTGGGAACAGCTGATTGGGGGTATTCTGGGAGACCAATCCACCTGCCAATCAGCTTTTTTCTTATTTTCCTCCCCAAAAACTAAGGTGCGCCTTATACTCTGAAAAATACGGTAAATTAGGAAGTGATTTGTTTCAGCAGAACCAGGGTTGTTTATGAGTGCTGGATGTTCAGAGACAACCATTGAATGTCTTTTTGAAGAACTTCTGGGGGAAAAATTATTTGTTCATTGTAGGACAGGGGTCCCAACACTAATGCTGAGCCACATTGGCATTCTGGGGTGCGGAAGTGGGTGAGCGTGCCGTGCATGCACACGAAATTGCATTTGTGAAAGCAGTGTGTGCATGCACACGAAACCATCCCCTCTCCCCCAGCCATCTCCTCTGCCAGTCTGCCAAGCCAGAAAGATTGGAGACTCCTGTTGTAGGAATGAAAAACTGGACACCACAGTCTCCTATATCAGTGCCCCCCCCATTTTTTGGCACCAGGGACCAGTTCCATGGAGAAGTTGTACCGTGGACTGGAAGGTATGTGGTTTCACATGCTGCCTGCATCTCCACGGATTGGGCTTTGTTTGCGCAGCCCGGTTTCTGGCATGTGCGCCCCTTTGCCGATCCAGAGTCCTAGTTCAGAATTTGGAACTTGTTGACATCTCACTTGGGTTCAACATGACTGTCTTTCTCCTGAGTTTTCAGTGTTCAGATTTAAGGTAAAGCTTAAATGCAGTGACTCAGTGGCTAAGATGCTGAGCTTGTCAATCAAAAGGTCGGCAGTTCAGGGGTTTGAATCCCTAGTGCCGCGTAACGGGGTGAGCTCCCGTTACTTGTCCCAGCTTCTGCCAACCTAGCAGTTTGAAAGCACGTAAAAAATGCAAGTAAAAAAATAGGGAGCACCTTTGGTGGGAAGGTAACAGTGTTCTGTGCGCCTTTGGCGTTTAGTCATGCCAACCACATGACCACGGAGACATCTTTGGACAGCGCTGGCTCTTTGGCTTTGAAACGGAGATGAGCACTGCCCCCTACAGTCAGGAAGGACTAGCACATATGTGCAAGGGGAACCTTTACCTTTACCTTGTATCCAAAGGGAAGAAACTGAGGCCCCTCACCCAATTTGTCAGTAGCAGGAAAGCTCAAGATATTTAGAATAGCATCTTAAGAGCCGTATCAGATTTCTGTCCCTTGGAAAATTAGGAAGTGTACTTCTTTCAATTTTCCCCAAATGACATTATAACTATTATGTTTCCCAGCTCACGTCATGAGCTTTCCTAAACTGAAAACCCATAAATAGGGCTGCGTCTCCCACTCTGTACTGCATAACATCAGATAAATGCAGGAGAAAGTTAATGATGGCTGAATAAGCAGAGACGTCATTTATTCAACTTTAAGCAGGATGTGGATCCTATTTTAAAACTCAGAAGTGTATGTAATCTAACCATTTACAATGGAGCTGACCTGACACAGGAAAATATTGGGACAGTTTGATGTTCTGTATTAGATGATATTGTAAATCAGTGTTTGTCGAACTTGGGAACTCTAAAATGTGTGGCTTTCAACTCACAGAATTTCCCAGCCTTCTTAAAGCTGCCAAGTTTGACAAACTCTGTTGTAAATGAAACAGAAGAATGAACAGGAACTGCAAACCACCAAAGAACACACAGGCACAATCTCTTTGTCGAAAATCAGAAGGCATTTTTAACCAAATTTATTCTGTGAAGAAAAACACTGAAGAGGTTTGATCTGAATCCCTGATTAGCCTTTGTTCTCTGGATCTTAGATAGATCATTTCAGAAGCTTTTATCCAGTTGCTAATCAAAATAGTCCCCCTCATCATACAAAGATTTTTCAATTTCATCTCTATCTGAATTCTGAACCTATAAATGCGTTTGACTTATTTCAAAGACAGGATAGTGCAAAACGTTTATCCCTCAAAACTAACGTAGGAGAGAACGAGAAAGCTAGCTCTAATTGGAGGTAAAGAAGGAAAGGATTTGGTTAAAATTCTTCTTCAGCATTTTTGCTGTGGCCACACTTCAGCTGCAGCAGCCTTTCTACTGTTTCGGGCACAGTACGTTCACCATGAATCTTGTTGTCTCTCGTACGGATATTCACAGTCCCACAGGCCTTCTCTTTCTCACCAACAACTAAAAGGCAGATCGAGAGGAAGAAAGTGAAAACATCAGAAAAGTAGATGCAATACATTACTATAAAATACTCAAGAATGATGGTGCCTTTATTAGAAAATGCAGAAAATGATCATTGTCATGACCAATATAACGGTATGGAAAAATTATAGGGTTTCCTTCTATACCAGGGGTGTCAAACTCGATTTCATTGAGGGCCGCATTAGGGTTATGTTTTACCTCGTGTGAGTGTGTGGGCGTGGCCAGGGTGGGCGTGGCCATCTTGAAATTCCTCATGTTGGGGGCACTGTGGTGGCCTGAGCGCTCTGCTAGCGAAAATAGGCTCCCAAACTCAGTTTTCGGCCACGACAGCCTCCTGCTGCCCTCTGCAGTGAAAACAGAGCTCGGGGGAGGAGGGGAACCGAGTATGCCCCCACGAGCTCCATTTTTCACTGTTAGAGGGCTGGAGGCCGTTGCAGCCAAAAATGGAGCCTGGGAGGGCTGTGCGTGGCCTCCCGAACTCCTTTTTCACTGGCAGAGGCACTGCGGGCCGGTCCTTCACTGTTTCCAGGGCAGCCCCAAGGGCCAGATTTAAGCACCCCGTGGGCCACATCTGGCCCCTGGGCCTTGAGTTTGACACCACTGTTCTATACATTTCTAAATATGGTGTATGGAAAAAAGTCAGTCTTCGGCATCAAAATGAACTGTCTGAGGAGGATTCGTGGGGAACAGAGTAAGGAATCTATCAAGATAATTCATACAAAGGAGAAATACACTGTAAAATATTGACAATGGTCGTTTGAAAAAAAAGCACTGAAAATTAGAAGATTAAAAGTTGAATGAGATCAGAATTAGAAGTTTCTAAATTAGAAGATTAGAAGTTAAATGAGATCATTTAACGTAGTGTCTCTCAAACTTGGCAATGTTAAGATATGTGGGACTCCAATTCCCAGAATTCCCCAGGCAGAATTCTAGAAGTGGCAGACCATACATCTTAAGAAATACCAAGTTTGAGAAACACTGTTAAATAATCTCATTAGAAGACTGGAAATAAAATTGTTTGCTTAAGGGGACAATGAACACTTTCTGGGCATTTTATCAGGAGCAGTTTCTATCAGAAATATTTGAAATTGCTCTGTTACTGTTTCTCTGCCCTCCTGACTCCTCTCTCTTCTTATGACAACTGCAATATAGATATGTGACTCAAAAGAAATCTACAGAACAGCATGCAGAAAAACCACTGCTATGACAGAAATAGCATCAATTGGATTTCATTACCAAATTAATAGCAGGAAATCGACAACTGTTTATTGTGCATTTAAAGGAAGTTTTGCATGCTATTTGCATTTCAAAGCATTTACACAAAAGCAAAATAGATGCAAATTCATGAAGTAGGACTGGCCTGTGTATACTTGCTCCCATCTAGCAAATAAAGGCATGAGGAAGGTGTTAAAATAGAAAGGAAAAACCATATAGTAACAGAATAATAGACAGAATAACAGAGTTGGAAGGTACTTTGTAGGTCATCTAGTCAACCCCCCTACCCAGTAGGAGACCCTACACCATTTCTGATGGGGTGTGTATGTGTGTAACAATTGTGTTTGATGAGCTTTGCTGGCTGAGGAACTCTGGGAGTTGAAGTCCACAAGTCTTAAAGTTGCCAAGGTTACAATGGACCCGCCTGGACTATTGTAACGCTCTCTATATGGTCTCCCCTTGAGGAGCACCCGGAGGCTCCAACTGGCGCAGAGTGCGGCCGCGCGGATGGTAATGGGAGCGACATGGCGTTCCCGTGTAACATCCCTCCTGCGTGAGCTGCACTGGCTCCCGGTGGTCTTCCGGGTGCGCTTCAAGGTTTTGGTTACCACCTTTAAAGCACTCCATGGCTCAGGACCTGGGTACTTGCGGGACCGCCTACTACCACCAATAGCCTCCCACCAACCGGTACGCTCTCATAGAGAGGGGCTCCTCCGGGTGCCGTCAGCCAAACAATGTCAATTGGCAGCCCCCAGGAGGAGAGCCTCCTCTGTGGGGGCACCTACTATCTGGAACGAGCTCCCCCCGGAGATACGGAGGATCCCGGATCTGTGCACCTTCCGCCGCGCTCTAAAGACCTCTTTATTTCACCAGGCGGGCCTGGCCTAACTTTCTCCCTCTTTTTAAACAATTTTTAATATTTTTTAGTATTTTTAATATTTAAAGTTTAAATTTGTTTTAAATTGATTGGGGTTTTAATCTGTCTGGGCCAAACTATTTAATTCGATTTTATTTCTGCTTTTTAAAT